TGTGTGTGTGTGTGTGTGTGTGTGTGTGTAAGTGAGTGAGTGAGTGAGTGAGTGAGTGTGTTGCTGAGAGTGTGAGAGTCTTTTGTCTGTAATGTGAAATCCAGATTCTGGTTCTACCTGTTCCCAGGTGTTTGAACAGATCAGCTTCCCTGAGCGAATCCTTACTGCTCAGGTAATTCTAGAGCCTCACTGATGATGATATTAGTGGTGTTTGTTGAGCGTATAGGGGTGTTGTTTAGGCTTAGAGATTTTAGTTCAGTATTTGTAAAAGTCTCTATATAATGGCTATAAAGCAGTGAAGGTTTCCAGCAGCTGTGCTGGAGCTCTGGTTTCGGCGTTTCCAGTGCTCATGATGGTCAAACCCACATCCGCTGCTCCTCCAGTCTATAAACAAACTCTCTCTCTCTCTCTCTCTCTCTCTCTCAAACACACACACACACACACACACTCTCTCTCTCTCACACACACACACACACACACTCTCTCTCTCTCACACACACACACACACACACTCTCTCTCTCTCACACACACACACACACACACTCTCTCTCTCTCACACACACACACACACACACTCTCTCTCTCTCACACACACACACACACACACTCTCTCTCTCTCACACACACACACACACACACTCTCTCTCTCTCACACACACACACACACACACTCTCTCTCTCTCACACACACACACACACACACTCTCTCTCTCTCACACACACACACACACACACTCTCTCTCTCTCACACACACACACACACACACTCTCTCTCTCTCACACACACACACACACACACTCTCTCTCTCTCACACACACACACACACACACTCTCTCTCTCTCACACACACACACACACACACTCTCTCTCTCTCACACACACACACACACACACTCTCTCTCTCTCACACACACACACACACACACTCTCTCTCTCTCACACACACACACACACACACTCTCTCTCTCTCACACACACACACACACACACTCTCTCTCTCTCACACACACACACACACACACTCTCTCTCTCTCACACACACACACACACACACTCTCTCTCTCTCACACACACACACACACACACTCTCTCTCTCTCACACACACACACACACACACTCTCTCTCTCTCACACACACACACACACACACTCTCTCTCTCTCACACACACACACACACACACTCTCTCTCTCTCACACACACACACACACACACTCTCTCTCTCTCACACACACACACACACACACTCTCTCTCTCTCACACACACACACACACACACGTTCATGCTCAGAGTGAAGTTTGATGACATCATTTCCTGTTTAGCCACTTGTTGTTGATGTTGTCGTCGCTCCTCTGGGAGCATCTCAAGGTTTCTCAGAGAAGAATCTGAGTGTGTGTGTGAGAGAGAGAAAAATAAACAGTATTTTGCGTGAGAAATTGACAGTAAAAAAATATATATTTTTAGATATAAAAATTTTAGATACTATTATAGTTTTTATTCATATTTTAAATTAGCTTTTATTTTTATGTTTTGTTTTCTTCTTAATTTTAGTTAAGCTTTCATTTTTTGGTTTTGTCATTAAACATTTTTTTTTTTTAATGTCTAGATGAATTTTTTATTAATTTTTATTTCAGTTTTAGTAAAAAAATAGCTAAAAACCCAAATTTTTCAACAAGTTAAACTAAATAAAAATGAGAAATGATGCCTTGCTTAAATTATTGAAATATTAACTTAAACCTCAAGGAGACTTGAAAATGTTTTAGCTCAAATGGGTTCGGATGACAAAAAAGATTACAAAAATATAAAAATATAACTAGTTGAAATAAAAAAGTTTCTGTATTTTTTATTATATATATATTTTATTTTTATATTTTATTTTTATTTCAGTTAACATACATTTTTAAAATGTAGTTTTAGTTAACAATAACCCTGCTCTACAATATACTTTAGAGTTAACTAGTGTATTCCATATCATTACAGTAATTATTAAATTAGGGGAAATGTATTTAAATCTAAAAATAATAAACGAAAATAATTTCACAATGCAAAAGATCTTAATGGTCCTAAAATAGGCTTCATTTTCAGACGCATTCTTAAAAGGCTTTGTGAGATTCACGTCTATGCTGCTTTTATCGAGTTTGTTCTATTAATATAATTGCATTATATCTGAAATGCACATGAATCAGATGTGGCTTCCCGTAACCCGTAGTTCTCTGAAAACGCTATTAATGCGTGCTCTATTTATAGAGCCGTCATCGGAGCAGACGAAGCCTTTTGTGTGTGTT